TTTTTTTTTTTTTTTTTTTTTTTGTGGATGCCGACGACCCCCGACTGGTAGGTGCCGACCAGCCAATCGGTCGGGGGGTCGGCAGCTGACCAGTCAAGGGCCGCCGACCGTCGGGGGGTGCAACACTGCTCTATTCCTATGCCCTCTGTTGTTCCTCCAATTACTCCTGTTTTACCTATTTAACTTACGGCTATTTCTGCCTACTCCCGTTCCGTTTAATTTATTTTCTTCCTCCTACTTGCTCATGTGAGGAATGTGTCCTCATGGGGCCCTAGCCAACATGCACATGTTCTGGAGTGAGGCCCCCAGCAAGCCTCGTGCCCGCCCTGAGTGAAGGCGGGCCTGAATATCCACGAGAGGCCCTTATCTCAGCATTTTCCAATGTGGGTATCAGACAGTTGCAGCACACCAGCTGGTTGAAGTGCAACCTGGGCCTCTCCCTGGGCTTTTACCTGAAGCAGCAGCTGCGCCAAGCAGTTGAGCCCAGGACGCAGGTGGTTGCGCCGTGGGCACACGCAGTGTGAGGCCGGCACATCACGAAGTGGCCATGCGCCAATGAGAATGCAGCATTTTCGTCACACCTACCCCACGGGCCAATGCAAACACGACAAACACTTGGAGCCTGGAGGCATCCTGAAGGTGCCGAACCGAAGAGGTCCCAGGCCCTTAACTGTAGGAATGGGCCTGGGCGCAGACACTGGGGCCCGACTGGAAGCTACTGGGAACTTCCTCGGCCAGGCCCAGGCAGCCCAGCAGGGCAGCTACTCCCATATAGGGAGGAGGCCGGCCAGAGGAGGTCATTGTGGCCTAGGCAGGAAATGCGGGCACGCTGCTGCGTTGCTGCGCAGGTGTCTGCATTAGTGCATGCTGGCTGGGGCACAAGTGGGCGCTATGAGGTGAAGGGCGCTGCAGGGCAGCAGGGTGCTTAGCGGCCATAGCTGGGCTGCAGGGGTGCAGGCAGGCGATTGGCCACGGTGATTGGCCACGGTGGTCTTCAGCGGAGCGCTTAGCAGCCATAGCCGGGCTGCAGGGGCGCAGGCAGGTGATTGGCCATAGTGGGTGGACAAGGTCTGATGAGGGGAGAAGAGAGAACGCACCTCGTGTATGTGGGAGGTCGGCATTGATATTGACGTCATGCACATTGGTCTTCGACGGCGAAGTGATCCTGTTGCACAAATGAAGATAGGATAGATAGGCTGAGTAGAGTAGGCTGGGCGCTGGGCGCCATACAGTAGGAGTGACATTGGATACTGCGTTGGTGTGGCCTGAGGGCTTGAACATTGGCTCATGAGTTCATTGTATCGCTCTGATGTGGATGGAATCTTGGTGCATTTATGCTCTCTGCTTGGTAGATGACTATCTGGACTTCTGCGTGATTTTGCAACTTGGTTTTCTGTCTATTGCTCTCGCTCATATTCCGTGCACTCTCTTTACTGTTCCATCCTCTCCTTGCCCTATTTAGTGTATGTTTATCCCAGTCTCCTGACTTCCTCCTCTTTTCCTTTTGCTACTTTCCAAGTGCATTCTCTATTTGCTTGTTGGCTTCCTTAACTCTGCTTATGTAGTTTCCATTCTGCAGTGCCCCCGCCCCGCGCCCGCGCCCGCGCCCCAGCCCAACAAAAAAACAGACCCCACGGATAAAGCCCTTTCTCCCTTGCTTTATCCAGGCTGTTTTCCATTTTTCTCCTAGTTCATGTCCATTGTGCTGTAATGTCTCTGTATGAGGTCCCTCAGTCCCTCCTCCGCTTCTCTGATCTGCACTGGCTTCTGCTCGATGGTTTCCTGTCACCGGGACTTCCAAATTATCCACATGTCTCGATTTCCGATAGCAGTTGTACTCGAAATGTGTCCAGGTTTTCAGGGTCTGTGTGCCTCACAAGACGTGTTTTCAGGAAAGGGACAGGTGGAGGCCTTCTTCCACAGTTCCTTAAGTATCTGCCATATCTGCTTAGCTTTCTGACATTCCAACAGCCAATGGGCCAGCGTCTCCCTCTCCCACACAATGCAGTGCCCCTTCTGTGGTGTCCTGCTGTCCTTGCTTCGTTGTGAGTGGAGCTATTTGCTCACTGGTAGGGATAGGTAACAGCACAACCATTGCATGGTTCTCACTTTCCCCAGTCTGATGATGCCTAGCTCTGCCCAGGGGAACCCCTGCAGCTTAGTTGGGTAGAGGCAATCGGGTTCCTTTCTATTGGGGAAGTAGAACACAGAATGAAGTTATGAACCTACTCGCACTTCTCAGCTGCACTGAGACCACATCTGACAGCAGATTCTGACTGAAAAGCACCAGGGCACTCCCATAACAAACAAAATGTCCATTGAAGGCGTTACTACTACTACTCCATGCCTACCAGATCTCTGCACCAGAGAATGAATCAACTGCTTGAGGCTGTTTTGCTCTTGGGTGTTGGTGGACGGTGTGCTGCTGCCTGGTGGCTGGAACTATGACTTGTGTTCTGTGATTACTTTTTGTTCTGCATTGCCGTGTCACATCGTTTACCCAATGCCAGAACCATGCTGATACATCAGGCTGTCAGGAATGGCAGTGGTGTTACCCTCGGTCTCCTTTCTGCATGCAGTCCTGAGCCTAGTTCCATCACCTTCCATGTGACTGTGTGGTGTCCTGGTGTCTTTTTTTTTTTGAACAAAAAGAAAAAGAGAAAAAGAAAAACCGAAGCGTTTCCCGCGTCCCTTACATTCATTGTGGCCGCTCAACGCTTCTCCCTGTTATGACCGGGAGATCCTGAGACAACGACATTGATTACTTCCTTTCGGAAGGATTTACTGCTGCTCCACCCCAGATTCCTCAGGTACTTGTTGTCCACCACCTACATTGTCCATCCTTACTGGACCTAGAGAGCATTGATTTCTTCCTTCAGAAGGGATTGACTGCCCGAACCCGGCTCCTAATAATTCTCATACTCCCAGTGGTTCTTCCCTTTTTTTTTTTTTTTTTTTTTTGGAAACTCCCAGCCCCTTCTATTCTGGGGGGCATCAGTCCGGTTGCTGATCACCGGCAAGCAAAATTTTTGAAACAAGCAGTGGGGGGAATTAGACAAAAAAGATAGTCAGCCTACCCTTGTGGCTCGAGGTTCCTATCCAAGGGGGGTTTGCTCCAGCACCACCCGCTCCCACCCTTTGGCCTTTCCTGAGGGATTGTCCTGCAAGCTGGGAAGCTTACGAGCAGCACCCAGGCACACTGCAGGACAATCCCGAAGGGGTCAAGGCACTGGGGGAGGGAGGGTCCTAGCAGCCCCTCGGGCCACCTGTTACTTATTCACACTTTCCCACCATGTCTACCTGAGCCCAGCATTTCCTCTGCCTCCTATCCCCATGTCATCTGTATCCCTGAACCCTTCTGTCCTTGATATCCTACCTCTCCTACCATCAGGTTTTTCTTGGCTTTAAACCTGCCATCCTATCCCTATACCTTAATCCTATCTGCTATGCTTGATCCTTCGTAGTATTTGCACCAAAAGTGGCCGAAGAAGGCCGAAAAAGGTCCACATTACCTTGGGTCCTGCACTATACATGTCTGCACGATTGCTATGTTCTAACCCCAGTATTTTCTTGACCCCTTTCACCCTCTTCTTTCCCTCTTCTTCCCTATATTTCTACCTTGTCTACTTCCTTCTTAATTTAGCTACCTCTTTCTCTGACCTTTACTGCCCCCTCCTTATGCTGCTCTTTGTATCCTTCTACCTGGTATCCCCTTTTACACGGGTCCGTGAAATATGAACAACTGTGACAGTTTCTTAACCTACAGAAAATGTATGATGGTGCCGCAATCCTGTGATGCTACTCTCTCTCTCTCTCTCTCTCTCTCTCTCTCTCTCTCTCTCTCTCTCTCTCTCTCTCTCTCTCTCTCTNTGTGTGTGTGTGTGTGTGTGTGTGTGTGTGTGTGTGTGTATGCTTGTGTATGCATTCCTGAAAAATGCCGTGATTCTGTGATGACTCTTCTTATTGCAGAGCTGAAGGTGCTGCTGAGCCAAGACCTGTTGGAGCATTTGTGCGCTCTTGTCCATTGTGTGGGACATCAAACATGGTGCTGAAGTCACGACCGGTATGTGAGGAACTGAAAAGTGTTTTTCTTTTGCCCTCATTGGTATTTGTTTTCGTACCTTATAACTGCGACGCATAAGGGTCCTTGGCGTGTTGGAAACCGTCCTGCGCCCGCTCTACGTGAAAGCGGGCTTGCAGAATTTTTGTGCGCCCTGTTTGGAGGTCGATGTGAGCAAAGAGGGGGCCCGAGGTTGGTTGCCACACGCAGCACCTCCAACCCAACTGGTAGCTTGGTTGGTTGCAGATGCTGGGGCCCAGCGAAGATGCTGACGCCCAGGGCACTTACAGTTGAGCTTCAGGTACATCTTGGAAAGGGCCTGGGTGCAGCTACTGGGACGGCCTGAGGGTAGAGATTATCCCGGGTAGTAAAGTGCAGAGGGGTAGGGTGTATAGGATGTCTCTAGGGAGTTGGATGAGCTTCATCAACAACTGAAGGAGCTTAGAGAGAAGGGATGAATGCGGCTTAGCACGTCTCTCTACTTTACGGTGGTCATACTTGTTCCTAAGAAAGGGGGGATGTTGACAATGTACATTGATTACAGAGATCTCACATGAATACTGAAGAAAAATGCAAAGACTGCTTCAAGCAAGGGGCCTAATCGTGGTTCGGGTAAGGGAACTATAGCACACCTCCCCAAGAATGCAAAGATCCCTGAGAAATCGGAGGATGCTTCCACCAAGTCGTGGGAAGCCCTCTGCATTAGTCAAAAAGAATGGGAGAGAAGATCCAAACTGCAGGTGTACTTGCATTGTCAAAAGCCTGGGCACACTGTGCAGGAATGTTATCGTCTGCAGGGAAACAGGCAAAAGGCGTAGAAGAGTCATCAGCACTCTCTACAACAAGGGAAGCTTAACAGTCAGTTGCAGGCCCCTCCAAGGAGCCTGAATCTGATCAACAACCTGCTCTTGAAGCCCGAACTGATGCTGAATCCAAGGCTGCTGCAGTCCAAGTACTTTACACTGAGCCTTGGGAGGAGACTAAGGAAGTTGACTTCCACTCTCACCTGGAACATTGGCTGCAGCTCAAGCAGCAACGCCGTGTTCAAGGGAGTGTGGAACTGACCTTCTTTAAGTTGCTCATTAAACGCCGTGTTCTGCTAACGGGATTCATAAGGCGGGTCTGGGGATGAAGTAAGTGGAATTGCAGAACCCTTGTCAGACCTAGGTAGGCAACTAAGAGGTTGTCACCTCAACACATGCTGTCAAAGGTGTGCGTGTCACCTTTGACAAGGATCGCACAGTTACACATGAGCTGAACTTTTACATCCTGGACAAGTGTCCTTTCGACGCGGTCATTGGCTTGGGCTGGTTAAAGGCTCATTGTCTAAGGACCACGTGGGCGGATACTCAGTTCGTGGTGCGCGACGCCAAGGGGAACGAGCGTACCGTTCTATTGGACGAGACGCGCGAGTCCCCTGTGACTCTTTTGAGTGCAAACAAATTCTGCAAATCAGTGCACAGGCGCAAGGAAGTTGAGCATGTGCATGTAGCTCTTGTAAAGCCTCTCCATGTGCCTTCTACTTTTGCTACATTTTCTACCTCGGCAAGTAATTCTACTTCTACTACCTCTACTTCTGTTCCATCTACTTCTACTGTAAAAAACCAGTTCACTTTTAATCCAAGTACTTCGAATTCGGTTGTAATTGCTGTAAATTCTCAATCTAATTTTCTCTCTCCTGATGAGGATGATCCTCCACCGGAAGTCCCAACAAACATTTGTCGTCTATTAGATAGATTTCCTGAAGTTCTGGTTGAACCTCGTGGAGTTCCCGAGCGTCCGGTTAAACACAAGATCGAGATAATAGAAGGGAGTGTTCCTCCAAAGGGTTGCGTCTACCGTATGGGACAAGGCGAGTTGGAGGAGTTGAGGAGACAAATTGATGACATGATTGTTTCTCCCCTATGTTCTTTCTTCCTGCCCCTTGGATCCTTGTAGAAATTCTGTCCAGGCTGCATATGGGGCGAGACTACACTTTGGACTTTACATTATAGCTTGATTTGGGTAAGGCATGCAGTCCGAGTTGTCCAGGCTCTGGAGGTCAATCGTGGGCTTAGCAAAGATTCATGTTAGAATGTGTGAGTTGTTGCTTGTGTTCCGTAGGTATCCTTCAACTTCTTTCTGTGTGCCCACTTCTGTTGGTACTGCTCTCATCTCTTGGTGATCACGACTTGATTCAATGGCCTTGTGACAATTTGCTTTGGTCTCCCCCAAGCTTTGTTCGACCCTTGCAGCTTTCAGATTTGTGCCTCTGTTATCATTGGATTGCTATGTTTTTCTTAATAATTGATGCTTGTGTTGTCTTTGTGAACGTTGCAGGATGGGAAGTTTATGGTGGGTTGCTTGGGATTCCCCAATGTAAGTCCTTAGCTTCAGCCTCTTGTGTGTCTTTCCCCAGAGATAATGAGATGTGGCATTGTGCTTATTACTGCCAAGTTGCTAATGATTTTTCGTTAACACAGGGTTAGGCATTACCACCGAAGATATGTTAACCATATTTCCCTGCCCCGCAATATTATCCTGGTTTGTTTGCGGCAAACACATTGTTTACAAAATTACAAATGAATAGGCGGTGTGAACTCAAAATGCTGCTCTGCACCATGCGCAGGAGTTTAACTACTTTTAGAAATCAATGCAGGTCTAAAAGCAATGACTGAAAGTTAGTATGTGTATGTGTTTGTGTGTTTGTGTGTTTGTGTGTTTGTGTGTTTGTGTGTTTGAAAGAGTGACGGGGTTGGGAGAGAGAAAGGGCAAGGGGGAGGGAACTGGGAGATAGATAGATAGATAGATAGATAGATAGATAGATAGATAGACAGATAGAGATAGATAGATAGATAGATAGATAGATAGAGATAGATAGATAGATAGATAGATAGATAGACAGATAGATAGATAGATAGATAGATAGATAGATAGATAGATAGATAGATAGATAGAGAGAGAGAGAGAGAGAGAGGCTCTCCGGAGGTCTCAGCAACAGGTAATGAGCGAGGCGGCACAGAGACACACACACACACACACACACACACACATACACACACACACACACACACAGAGAGAGAGAGAGAGAGAGAGAGAGAGAGAGAGAGAGAGAGAGAGAGATTCACAAGGCACCAACCAAAGTGCCAGTTTCATAATCTCTAGTGACAACACGGTGTTATTGCATGGGACAGTTCAATGATGTATCTGGATGTAAGCGCTGTCGGAAACTTCGGAGTCTCAGCAGGCCCATGGTGCATCAGGGCCTGTGCTCTCTCTGTCTGTCTGTCTGTCTGTCTGTGTGTGTGTGTGTGTGTGTGTGAGAGAGAGAGAGAGAGAGAGACTCTCTCTCTCTCTCTCTCTCTCTCTCTCTCTCTCTCTCTCTCTCTCTCTCTCTCTCTCTCTCTCTCTCTCTGGCTAGAGATTAGGAAACTGGCACTTTGGTTGGTGCCTTGTGAATCTCTCTCTCTCTCTCT